CAGGGGAAGGATCCTGTAAAATCTCCCATTTCTTCCCCACTCCAGGGGAAGGATACTGCAAAATCTCCATTCCCTCCACACTCCAGAGGAAGGATACTGCAAAATCCCCATTTCCTCCCCACTCCAGGGGAAGGATACTGCAAAATCTCCATTCCCTCCCCACTCCAGGGGAAGGATACTGCAAAATCCACATTCCTTCCCCACTTCAGGGGAAGGATACTACAAAATCTCCATTCCCTCCCCACTCCAGGGGAAGGATACTGCAAAATCCCCATTCCCTCCCCACTCCAGAGGAAGGATACTGCAAAATTCCCATTCCCTCCCCACTCCAGGGGAAGGATACTGCAAAATCTCCATTCCCAGTCCACTCTGGGGCCAGCCAGAGGTGGTATTTGCCGGTTCTCCGAAGTACTCAAAATTTCCGCTACTGGTTCTCCAGAACCTGCTAAATTTCACCCTTGGGCAGTCTTCAACTTACGACCACGATTGAGCCCAAAATTCATGTTGCTAAAATGAGAAGTTGGTTAGTGACTTTTGCCCCATTTTACGCCTTTTCTCGCCACGTTTCTTAAGCAAATCATTTCAGTTCTTCACTTAGTAACACGGTTGTTAAGTGAATCTGGTTTCCCCCTTGACTTTGCTCATCGGAAGGTTGCAAAAGAGGATCACATGACACCAGGACACAACCATCATGAATGTACATGCTGGTTGCCAAGCACAGGATTGTGTGTATACTGTCAAGTTACCTATAAGTCTGAGGACTGATTGAAAGTCACTTTTTTCAATGCCGTTATAATTTCAAAAGGTCACTGAATGAATGGTTGTAAATCGAGGACTACTTGGATTTCCCTGCAGAAAATACATTATAAGGACAGAGTCAGAGAGCATAAGCTGTTTTTTTTTTTTGGGGGGGGGGAGGCAGAAGGATCTCTGATTACAGTCTCTTAAACAATAAACAGTGAGTTGGAAGCGACCCTGGAGGTCATCTAGTCCAACCCCCTGCTCACGCAGACCTGTACTAGGGATTTGAACCACCGAACTGTCGACCTTTCTGATCAACAAGCCGTGTCTTAGCCACTGAGACACTTATTCTTCTCCAAGGGCAGAGGAATAAATCAATGTTTTGCAACTGTGGCTGGGGAATTCTGGGAGTTGAAGTCCACCCATGCCAAACCGTGCTGGCTGGGGAATTCTGGGAGTTGTAGTCCACAGGTTTTAAAGTTATTGGAAGTTGTGAAACGCTGTCATCAATCTTTTAACTCTTTCCATAATCCACTGCCTATCTTGTGAGCTCAAAAGATCATGAGGCGCCATAGCGCAGGGATCTGATCTCCAACCTTGGCAACTTTAAGACTTTGTGCACTTCAATTCCCAGAATTCCTCAGCCAGCAAAGCTGGCTGAAGAATTCTGGAAGTTGAAGTTCACAAATCTTAAAGTTAGCAAGGTTGGAGATCCTTGTCATAGAGCCAGTGCCAAGGCACTAAGGCCTCTACCAATTCGAAAGGCCTTTTTCCTTCATCGGGGGTTTTCCTCGCAGCCAAATAAATGTGAATTCCTCAAATTTTGGAAGCAGCCGGCGGAACTCACGCCGCCCCTATAGGACTAGGTAGCTTCCGAAATGAAGTCCGGGAGAACTAGGCCGCGAGGTATCTAGGCAACCGAAGGACACCGGAAGCCGCGCTACCGGGCCTTCTCTCGTTGGCGCTTCCAGCTAGCCACCGATTGGCAGAAAAACCGGAAGGGGGCGGTCGCAGCCGAGGCGGGAAGGAAGGATCGAAGTCTGAGAAAGCGAGCGAAGAAGCGCTTGGAATCGTGAGGTAACTCTCTGCGCGCGCTAAGAATTGGGGGGTGCGCATTGGCTCCTCCGCGTTAGACGAGTCCAAAAACCCGGTGGAAGGCGGGGGTGGGTGGGGAGTACAGCGCTTTTCGACTCTTCCATTCCAAATTTTTTTGGGGGGGAATTGTTTTAAACCACGCTCGTTTTTGCGCCTTTCAGTTTATCCGCCATAAAGTGATTTTTTTTGAAGGGTCGAAAAGTGAGGCATGGGGGAGGGGAGGGAATAAAATGCCCCCTCCAGCGTTTAGTGAGTCAAAAGTCTTAATTTTCATGTGGAGGAGGGGTGTTGGAAAGAAACCATCATCCCTCAAGTAAAGTTTGCTTTTTCTGGTTCATCAATTCCTTTTTTTAAAAATCCTAAAATTTGGGCAGCCTAACCTCCATTAATTATTTAATTTTGATTTTCCACTGTCAGTTCAATAATATTCATATATACACATACACACATACACACATACAAACATACATACATACACACATACACACACACACACACACACACACACACACAAGTCAGTGTGTTTGTGTGTGAAGAGGAACTAAAGAGCCTCCTGATGCGGGTGAAGAAGGAGAGTGCAAAAGTTGGCTTGAAACTCAACATTAAGAAAACTAAGATCATGGCATCTGGCCCTCTCGATTCCTGGCAAATCGATGGGGAAAAAATGGAGGTAATGACAGATGGGGGACTGCAGCCAAGAAATTAAAAGAGGCTTGCTCCTGGGGAGGAAAGCGATGGCAAAGCTAAACAGCATACTAAAAAGCAGAGACATCCCCCTGCTAACAAAAGTGTGTCTAGTCAAGGCTGTGGTTTCCCCAGTTGCAATTGATGGCTGTGAAAGTTGGACCATAAGGAAGGCTGAGCGCCAAAGAATGGAGGCCTTTGAACTCTGGTGCTGGAGAAGAAGACTCCTGCATTGAGTCCCTTGGACTGCAAGGCCATCCAACCGTTCAGTCCTAGAGGAGATCCACCCTGACTGCTCTTTAGAAGGCCAGATCCTGAAGAGGAAACTCCAAGACTTTGGCCACCTAATGAGAAGGAAGAAAGACTCCCTGGAGAAGAGCCTCATGCTGGGAACGATGGAGGACAAAAGAAGAAGAAGGGGACGACAGAGAATGAGGGGGCTGGATGGAGTCACCGAAGCAGTCAGCATGAGCTTAAATGGACTCCAGAGAAGGGTAGAAGATAGGAAGGCCTGGAGAAACGTTGTCCACAGGATCACGATGGGTCAGACACAACTTTGCAACTAACAACAACAAAAGTCCTCGATTTACAATCATTCGTTTAGTAATCTTTTGAAATTATAACAGCATTGAAAAAAGTGACTTTCAATCAGTCCTCACACTTATAGACAACTAAGACACTATATGCAGAGTCCTATGATCCAAATTTGGATGCTTGGCAACCAGCATGTATAGGTAGACCTCGACTTAAGCCAATTCATTTTATATATGATTTTTTTTAGTGTAATACTAGTAGTGATCATACTTTTCATGCCCTCAAACATCCACATCTGCCTATTAATAAAAGGTGAATATAAAAAGCCAAATCCCATCTACACATGTGGCTGAAAGTGCAACAAAACCACAATAAGAGACTGCGTAGACTGACTACAGGCAGTGGTATGTCAAAGTAGCAACAACTGCACTGGAAGAACTGCCAGAAATACCATTTGCAAAAACTGGTGGGATCATAAATGGAGGAAAAAAAACAGAAAATGAAGACTGGGACTTTAGAACACAAACAAACAGGTGTCTGCCATATACCACTACTTAACAATTGTCGCTAAAAGACAAAGACAAAAATGTTAGATAGTGGATGTGGCAGTACCTAGAGATAGCGGAAGAGAAAGAACTAGAGAAGATAAACTACAAAGACCCACAAATAGAAATAGAATGACTGTGGCAAAAGAAAACAAAGGTAGTAACAATAGTAATAGGTGCCTCGGATGCAATCTCAAAACATCTGGAACTCCACTGGAACACTATCGGCATTGACAAATTCACCACCAGTCAATTGCAAAAGGCAGCTTTTCTCGGAATAGCTGACATCCTGCGATGATATCTTTAAATGCCATCCAGCAACATCATTTGCCTATCCCGATTCCTTGGGAAGGATGCTATGGGTGAATTTAAAAGCCAAATGCAGTCTTAAATGTCTGGCTGAGTGCGACCAACAATATCAATAACTATGCCAAACACCCTGGGCACCTTACAAGATATCAAATAGACAATCGAAACAATTAAAACTTAAGATTGGTCGTCCCACAGGTGCTTTTCCAAAAGACAATTTGACTTTTGTCCAGTTGCCTTTTAAAAAAGCACCTTTGAGACAGCCATGACTTGGGTGACTGAGAATCTCCAATAGACCAGTGGCCCCCAACCTTTTGGGGCACCACGGACCGATTCCATGGAGAGAAGTTTTTCTGTGGACTGGAGAGGATGTGCTTTGCATGCTGCCTGCATGTCGCAGATGGGGCTTCGCTTGTTTGCGCGACTCAGTTGCTGACATGCTGCCAGTCCACAGATTGCTGGTTGGGAACCTGTCAGAGTTTGTTGCAGAAATGAAATTTAGAAAGCACACACAGGTAACTGATGCAGCAGGATTCATTAACTTCTCTTTATATGCATAATAACACATAAGTCATATACAATACCAATGGCTGGTTCTTCCAATGTGGTAGATACAAGCAAATACAGGCAAAGGAGAGAATGATTTCCAGTTTCAGTTCCAGCAGCAGACCAGTATGTAGATTTAGTACAGACTCAGAGCAACAGAGCTAAGCTACGCCCAGGCTCCAAAGCGTTTCAGCTCCCATTGGCTGACCTTGTTGCTATGCCCTATTCCAGTTCATGAATATACTCTGACAGAACCGCTGCCCTCGACGTTAAGATTGGTCGCCACCCAGAGTCGTTTTCTGAGATCGGTAGCCATAAAAATTGAATAAATAAAAATAGAACAAGTAAAAATAACAAAATGAACAGTCTGGACAAACAAAAAAATAGCTGTCAACTTGTAAAGCGTTTCCATGACTACTAATGTTGACATAGAAAAAGGAGGAGAATTCCATGCATACCTTTGGCCAGAGTCAGGTCTCATATTCCTACAACTGGCGTGTGAAATGCTCCTGTTTATAGCCTGCTGCAGCACCTTGTTGGTGGATGTGATTTATGACACAGACAGAAGGGAGGGGATTCAGAGGTAAAGTTCAAATGCAATTAAGCGGGAATCAGTTTCGGCTCCGCAGAAGAACATGCCAAAATGTTGATCCTAATAAATGAATGGATTTCTTTTGAACTTTGTCTCGAGGCTTGTAAATTAATTAGGTCATCTTTTGGGAACTTCACAATAGCCCTAGCCCATCCAAAAACATGACAGATTCCACAAATGTGCCAATTGCAAATTTGGAACTAGAAATGTACACTGTATGGAACACTTGTCTCTCTTTCCTGGCATAGTTCCACTCAGCTTGTTATGGACTTGAGTAGGTTTTGTTTTCCATGTGGGATTGTTTTGAGTCGGTTGCTAATATTTTGGCTTTGCTTGGCAGTTGTTTTTTTTTTGATGGGTCAACTCGAACTAGTTCTTAAGGGGTTCAGCATTCATCTTACCTATTGCTACTTCTTTCTGAGTTCAATGCCTAAACTAAAACCAGAGAGAATTTCAAATATGAATGCCTTTATGCCTCTTGGCAGTCTGTTCTTGAGGTCCCTTTTGGCAATGCATATCAGCATCCACAGGCTTTTTTGACGTTGATTTAAATCATGCAGAAATGTGGGTCTAACCTATCATTGAAACATGTTTATTACATTTATTAAGTAATAGTACAGTTTTCTTTTTTTAAAGTTTGATCTAGCCTTCTATTAGGGATTTTTGAATTCTCAGGTGAAACTTTTTATTTTAGATTTGTTTAAAAGTCTGTAGAGATTCTCCATCATCCAGGTCACGGTTGTCCCAAAAGTGTTTTTCAAGGAGGCAACTGGACGTTCTTGTTTTTTTCTTTTGAAGACGTTTTGCTTCTCATCCAAGAAGCTTCTTCAGCTCTGGGGTGGGGAAATGGAAGGATTTATATTCCTTGCAGACAGCTAGTCATTTGCATCCTTTTAGAAAGTTGTTGAGGTCGCTTAGAGATTTGTCCTCAGGATCCCCTGAATAGTGCTAATGGTTCCTGTTGTCTGCAATTTTTCTGGAAATCCGTTTATACTCCCACACCATTCAGAGGGTGTTCATCCCAAATTGCATAGCTAAAAGTCTGTAATGATTCTTGGTCATTCAGGTCACGGTTATCCCAAAGATGCTTTTTTTCAGGAGGCAATTGGACTTCCTGGTTTTTTCTTTGAAGACTTTTCTTTTTAGATTTCTTTGTATACCACCTTTATTATTTTTACAAATAACTGAAGGTGGTGAACTTATCCAATACGTCTTCCTCCTCCTGCTATCTTCACAACAAACCTGGGAGATGAGTTGGACTGAGAGAGAGAGTAACTGGCCCAATGTCACCCAGTTATGTCAGGACCAGAACTCACGGGTTCCTGGTGATTGGCCGAAGTCAACCAACTAGCTTTCGTGCTTGAGGCGGGATCGGATCTCAACAGTTTATAATTTAAAACATTGCTTCTTGTTTCTTGAAGGTGGATGTCCTGATAAGCCAATGCAATTATGGCATTACGAAGATCAGAATACACCATCGGTGGTGTAAAAATTCTCTTCCCGTGCAAGGCGTATCCATCACAACTTGCTATGATGAATGCAGTAAGTCTGAAAAGCAATGATTTTATAGCAGTCATTGTAAGATTATGCTTAAGAGTGGTGCGGTGGCCTAGAGATGGAGCTCTCGTCTCACAATCGGGAGTTCAATCCTAGGTAGAGGCAGATATTTCTCTCTCTGGGCACAATGAGAATATATCTGCTGAACAAAACTCCATCCTGGTGACAAAAAGGGCATCCGGCCAGTAAACACTCTGCTAGCTCCATTCAGTTGCCCAGACTCCACTCCGAAAGGGATTATGGGGTCATTAAAAGGAGATGATGATGAAAAGGGGAGGAAGAAAAAATTCCGCATTGGTGACAGGAAGGGCATCAAGCCAGTAAACACTCAAGTTTCATTCAGTTGCCCAGACACCACCCCGCAAGGGATTATGAGGTCGTTAAAAGAGGATGATGATTGTAAGGTTACGCTTAAGCCTCTACAACCGTGTTTCTCGGTTCAACTCCCAGAATTGTTAAGTGCATGCAGCCAGTCAGCATGCTGGATGGGGAATTCTGGGAGTTGAAGTCCACTCTTCTGAAAATTGCCAAGATTGAGAAACATCACTTTATAGTTGGAAAACAAGGATTTTTCTCCCGCTTCTGAAATCTTTTTCTGGCTTTTCAACTTTTAAAAGCTTTGCTTAGTGTTTGTTTTTCAAAAAGAAAAGGAAAGAAAGAAAGAAAGAAAGAAAGAAAGAAAGAAAGAAAGAAAGAAAGCAACAGGATTAAATTCAAAACTTTTAAATCATAGGGAAAAAGATTAGCCCCAATTTCTTGCCCCGTTGGGTAAGTGAATTACTGCAGTTGTTAAGTGAATTGAATGGTTGTTCAGTAAATCTGGCGTCCCACATTATTTTATTGGTTGGACGCTGGCTGGGAAGGTCGTAAATAATGAGTACATAACCCTGGGACTCTGCAGACCATTTAAGTCAGGATTGGGAAAGTTTTTAATACAGCATTGGCGAGTCAGGATCCAACCTTTCACACGGAATAGAAATTGCATTTGCTGTCGAAATTCCATGTTTTAAAATAGACAGCCGTCTACTACATTATTTTTCAAATTTGGTTCTGCTATGAATCAAATTAGGGAAACAGTTTCAAAGCAACAGGTAAATCAGATCTTCAGGTGTTCTTAATTGCCATCTTGCAGAAGAAAAGAAAAGGCTCCAGCAATTTCCCTGAGCCACTGAAATGCCAAAAAGAGTGGAGACTCGACACGAGGCTTGCAAAAAATATCAGCTTTTATTTATGGCCATAGCAAAAGCTGGGTGACAAAACTATATCCAAAACATACAAACAAATGCAAGTAAGGAATCACCACCCCCTGTAAGAGCTCAGAGTATTACCGTGTTTTTCGGAGTATAAGAGGCACCTTTTTCCCTCAAAAAAAGAGGCTGAAAATCTGGGTGCGTCTTATACACTGAATACAGCATTTTTGGCCTCCCGAACCCCTTCCCCTTTGCAAAAATGACCCGGCATAGCCTTTAGGAGCCTTGCAGAGTGTTCCTGGGGCTGGGGAGGGCAGAAATGAGTGAAAAACAGGCCGTTTTTTGCTAGCAGCATATCATTTCAGAAGCAAATAGCAAATATTGGTTTAATCAGTAACAATCATATAGTAATATAAGCAATTCTTAATAAAAGCAAATAACCAATATTGATTCATATATTGCTTCAGGCAGCAGCTTGTTTTCCGTGCTGGCAAAATTCATTTCCTTCTTTGCAGATTGTGAAGGGGCTGAGCTCCAAGCAACACTGCCTGCTGGAGAGTCCCACTGGAAGTGGAAAAAGCTTGGCCCTGCTCTGCTCTGCGCTGGCCTGGCAGCAATCGCTCTACGGTGAGGCCTTGGGTGGGCCTCCTTAGCCCTTCAAGACTCCTTTTGGCTTCATTCTTCCTGCTAATGTTGTCTACCTATAGAAATACATTCATATCTGTCTATTCATATGTATCCATTATCCATCCATCCATCCATATCTGTCTGTCTATCTCTATCTATCTATCTCTAACTAACTAACTAACTAACTAACTAACTAACTAACTAACTAACTAACCAACCAGTCCTAGTGGAGATCAACCCTGACTGCTCTTTAGAAGGCAAAATCCTGAAAATGAGACTCAAATGCTTTGGACACCTAATGAGAAGGAAGGATTCATTGTAGAAGAGCCTCATGCTGGGAATGACTGAGGGCAAAAGAAGAAGAAGGGGATGGCAGAGAAGGAGGTGGCTGGATGGAGTCACCAAAGCAGTTGGCATGAGCTTAAATGGACTCCAGAGGATGGTAGAGGACAGGAAGGCCTGGAGGAACGTTGTCCGTGGGGCCGTGTTGTCCATGGAGTTGGACACGACTTCGCAACTAACAACAACAACAAAAAATCTATCTGTCTATCTATTTATCTTATCTATCTATCTATCTATCTATCTATCTATCTATCTATCTATCTATCTATCTATCTATCTATCTATCTAATGTGTCTGTCTATCTATCTGTCTATCCGTCTATCCATCTATCCATCTATCCATCTATCCATCTATCCATCTATCCATCTATCCATCTATCTATCTATCTATCTATCTATCTATCTATCTATCTATCTATCTATCTATCTATCTATCTANTATCTATCTATCTATCTATCTATCTATCTATCTATCTATCTATCTATCTATCTATCTATCTATCTATCTATCTATCTATCTATCTATCATATTTAAGAACCACCCATCTCTCACAGAGGGATTCTACGGGTAGTGTACCATAAAATATTAAAAGCCTAATAATAATATACGTATAAAATTTTAAAAAGGCAAGGGATGTTATAAATTGGTTAAATGGTGGGGGGAGAGAAGAGACACTTTCAGGTTGTGCCTGATTTTATGTCCTTTTTTGCCATGGTTATTAAGCAAATCACTGCAGTTGTTAAGTGAATCATGGTTGTTGAGTGAATCTGGCTTTCCCCCATTGATTTCGTTTGTCAGAAGTCAGCTGGGAAGGTTACAAATGGTGATCAGTTGACCTTGGTATGTTACAACTGTCGTAAATACTGTATTTTTCAGAGTGTAAGATACATCTTTTTCCCTCAAAAAAGAGGCTGAAAATCTGGGTGTGTCCTATACACTGAATACAACATTTTGGCGTCCCGGAACCCCGCCCCCTCCTTCACCAAAATGGTCATCCTTTAGGAGCTTTTGTGGGGGAGGAAATGGGCCTGTTTTTGGGAGGCCTGCAGAGTGCAAAAACTTTTTTTTTAAATTTGCCTCTTCAAAATTTTGGTGCGTCTTATACTCCGAAAAATATGGTACATGCTTCCAAATTTTGATCACATAATCCTGGGACTGCTGCAATGGTCTCGTCACTTTTTTCAATACTACTGTAACTTTCACTAATACTAATGTAACAGTCACTAAATGAATGGTTGTAATTCAAGAATTATTACATTTTTTTAAAAAAAAAATCTTGCCTGCTGTTTAGAAAAACCACTGGATGACTTGTGCTCAAAAGAATCCAAGAAGACCGAGATTTTGAAACTCTGCCGATGCCCATGCCACGCTAAATTGTCCGGTCGGGATGCAGAAGGAGACTGTCAAACCACATCTTCTTTCTTCCCCAGCTATGCAACGGAGACCTCACCAGGCGGTGGAAGTAGCTCAACCCACAAAGGTACCATCTTTAAGGGGCTTTTAAAGACACAGCCCTCCTTTATACCAGAATAACAGAGATGGAAGGGACCTTGGAGGTCTTCTACTTCAAGCAGGAGACACTTTACCATTTCAGACAAGTGACTGTCTAGTCCCTTCTTAAAAACCTCCTGTGATGGAGCATCCACAACTTCTGGAGGCAAATCATTCCACTGATTAATTGTTCTAACTCTCAGGAATTTTCTCCTTAGTTCTAGGTTGAATCTCTCCTTGACCAGTTTCCATCCATTATTCCTTGTCTGGCCTTCAGTTGCTTTGGAAAATAGCTTGACACTCTCCTCTCTGTGGCAGCCCCTGAGATATTGGAAGACTGCTATCATGTCTCCCCTGGTCCTTCTTTTTATTAAACTAGACATACCCAGTTCCTGCCACCATTCTTCGTATGTTTTAGCTCCCAGTCCCCTAATAATCATTGTTGCTCTTCTCTGCACTCTTTCTAGAGTCGCAACACGTTCTCCACATGTTTTTCATTTTTACAGGTAGTCCTCAACTTATGACCACAATTGAGCCCAAAATGTATGTTGCTAAGTGAGAAATTAGTTAAGTGAACTTTGCCCCATTATACCCCATTATACTGTTAAAGTATTAAATTAGTAACATGATTGTTAAGTGAATCTGGCTTCCCCATTGACTATGCCTGTCAGAAGGTTGCAAAAGGGGACCGGGTGATCCCAAGACACTGCAGTCGTTATAAATGTGGGTCAGATGTCAAGCATCCAAATGGAAATCACACAACCATGGGGATGCTACAATGGTCACAAGTGTGAAAAATGATCACAAGTCACTTTTTTCAGTGCTGTTCTAACTTTGAATGGTCATTAAGTGAATTGTTCTAAGTCAAGGAGGACTACCTGTGTATTTCCTTCTTGTCTGCTGGGTTACATTTTTCTGTTGAATAAGGTATAGGTTCCCCTCGCACATATGTGCTAGCCGTTCCTGACTCTAGGGGGTGGTGCTCATCTCTGTTTCAGTGCCGAAGAGCCAGCGCTATCCGAAGACGTCATGTGGCCGGCATGACTCAATGCCTACAGCGCACGGAACGCTGTTACCTTCCCACCAAAGGTGGTCCCTACTTGCATTTTATTTATAAAGTTTTTATTTTTAGACAGACATAGACAAACAAAACATAAATTGCATTTTTTACGTGCTTTCAAACTGCTAGGTTGGCAGAAGCTGGGACAAGTAACGGGAGCTCACTCTGTTATGCAGCACTAGGGATTCAAACCGCCAAACTGCCGACCTTCTAATCAATAAACTCAGCATCTTAGCCCCTGAGCCACCATGTCCCTTGTTTTTCTGTTGAATTGGAAGCTTCCCCAGACTCCCTTTGATGTATTTGTTATTGCAGAAAGCGTCTCACCAATTACATTGGCTTCAAAGCTGTCTGCCAAACAGCAAGCCTCATTCTATGAAGACGATGACAGCGACAGTGATTTTAAAGTGGAAAGAAAGAGGATTCGTTCACTCGAAACGGAGCAGCAGGTGAGTAACATATATACAGGCAATCCTCATCTTACAACCGTTTGTTTAGTGACCGTTTGAAGTTATAACGGCCCTGAAACAAGTGACCTCTGGCCTTTTTTCACATGATTGCAGTGTCCCCCTGGTCACGTAATCAAAATTCCGTCGCTTAGCAACTGTCTCATATTTATGACAGCTGCAGTATCCTCGACTTACACCCATGCATTACAAATACTGGTTATAAATCCTAAACAACTCTGAAGCACATGGTGGTGAAGAACATGTCCCATTTGTGCCAGCTTTTCAACACATTTTCCTCTTCGGGGAAGATCTTTCCATGGCATGGCCTGCGATGTGCTACTTGGCGCAAAAGAGACCTTTTTTTCCCAGTGGTGGCTTTTTGCAGTGACCTCATCTCTTGAGGCTCAGTGGCTTAATGATGCTGAAGACGGTCTCTGCTCCAGCGGTTCGAGTCCTAGCACAGGGTGAGCTCCTGTCACTCGCCTCAACCTCTGTCCACCGAACAGTTTAGAAGCATGTTCTCTGCGAGTAGATCAGAGGTGTCAAACTTGATTTCATTGAGGGCTGCATCTGGGTTGGATTTGACCTCCGGGTGGGGGGGTTGAGTAGATGTGGCCTGGGTGGGTGTAGCCAGCTTGATGTCCTGCAGCCCTCACACGGCCCTCCCAGGCTCCGTTTTTGGCCGTGATGACCTCCTGG